CCCTGAAGATGCTCTTGTTTGTAGAGACCTGCATTTTCTGCAATTTCATCTTGGAAAAGAAACTGTCTACCGTATAAACGTCACATAAATATGCTTAATGAACACACATACATCATGACTTCCATATATACAGTAGCCTCAATAAAATCTCATATTTACCAATTGTACATATAAAGCACTCCTTAACAGAAACCTTCAGCAATAGTCCAACGAATGACTTTGATATACATGGTTTAGAGTTATTTTAATTCTATGTCTATGATTATGAATTTAAGATATTTCTAGGGCTGGGAATGGTGGCATATGCCTTTAATCCCAGCACTTGGGAGGCAAAGGCAGGTGGATCTTTGTGAAAGTGAGGGCAGTCTGGTCGACATAGTGAATTCCAGGCCATGGAGAGCTACAGACAGCTACAGCTGTCTCAAAACACAAACAAGCAAAATGATATTTCTAGAGACCCTGATGGAAGATTGGGTAGAAAGATGATAAGAGCCAGAGGTTGAAGAGAGAAACAGCATCCTCTGAACATGAGAGAACCACTCATAAACTCACAGCAGTTGTGGTCACCTGCTAGAACAAAGGGGAGTTAGTTTTGCCATCTCAATATCTACCTATGACCTAACAATAAATGCTGCTTTGTATGTACGTATGTATAAAACCTGCATATACACACACGGGATGTGGGTAAGTCGTTCTTAAAAATAAAACCACTTATGAATATTTTACAACTCAAATCTGAAAAAATTTTCCTTATAAAAATTACCACATCTAGGTTATTTTAAATCGATGGACAGATATGATGCTTAATTATCTTGGATTTTGATTGCCTAAAGCTTATACCCCTCTAATTATTGACTTGGATTTGATGAAAATTACTGAAGCAAAATAAAAATCTTACTGCAAAGGGAGTGAGAGATAGCTTATGCTGACACAAATAAGAATGAACATGATGGTTAGTCTTGATTGTCAACTTGATAAGATTTAGAATTACCATGGAAACAAACCCCTAGGTGTGTCTATGAGGATATTTCAAAAGAGGTTTAACTTAGGAGGGAAGACCTACACTGAATAAGGCAGCGCCATCCCAAGGGCTGGGGTCCAGGACTGAATAAAAAGGAGAAAGGTACAAAGTGACCGGCTGCCTGGCATAGCTGCCGCTATGTTGTCCCTACCACAATGGACTGTACCCTAAAACCCTTCCCTCCTTAAGTCAGGTATTGGTCATGACAACCAGAAATGTAACTAATAAGAAAATCAGAATGGGGACACGGCTGTGATAAAAAAGACAATGTAGTTCACAGACCTTTTGAAATGGTTTGCCAGAGGAATGCTGAGGAGTTTGGACCTTTTGGTGAATAACTCCCTAGAACACTATAAGGAGAGCTTAATAGGCCATTCATATGGAAGTCTGAGATACCAGAATGCTGTTCTTCAAGATGCCTCAGCAGCTAAAGGCACTTACCACCAAACCTAAGGACCTGAGTTTGATCCTTGAGACCCGAATGATGGAAAAAGAGAACCAATTCCCATTAGTTGTCATCTGACCTCCATATTTGAGGCATGCAGTACGTGTGACTGTGCTTGGTCTGTAACTCCATCATGGAAGGGACTATGACAGTGTGCTTATCCTGTGACTCTGTGACTCACCATATCCACAGCCTTGGAGGCAGAGATGGCAGGAAGGGTGTGAGATACTCCATAAGATCAGGCAGGACAGAGGGGCAGGGCTGAGAGGATCCTGGCCCCATCTCTGCACCTGTATGGGTGGGTCCTCCCTTCTCTCTTCTGATGGGCTTGAGGCCCTCAGTTCATCCATAGCTATGCAGGCTTCAGATGTGACAACATGCACAACATTTCATTCCCTGCAAGAATGAAGTATCTCCATCCCCCTTGTGCTGTCAGAGAAACGAAAGTTCTCTCTGTTCTTTGGGCATAATTCTAGGGATCCCAGGCCATTGATGCTGAACACACCGGGTCCTTTCATGTCTCAGAAATGTTGGAAGAAGCCTCAGGGCCTGTCTGAATGGGGCAAGTTCTGGGTCCTGTCAGGTCAGCTTGCCTGGAACAGAGGCACTGTCCCCTCCTGCTGACAGCACCAGTCATACCATGCTAGCTCCACAGTGATGGTGTCAACACAGGCTTGCACCACCACTTACCTGGGCAGGGGAAGCTAGATCAGTCAAGCCAATGGCAGCTCACAGTTGGAGAGTACAGTCAAGCATGCTGGGACAGTCAAAGTGGCAGGAGGTTGTGACACTGCTTCCACAGTGAATACTTGTGCTGGGTTAGCTTCTCCTTTTTCTTCATTCCAGACCCCCAGTCCAGGAGCTGTCACAGTCCACATTTAGGGTGTTTCCTCCTCATCAATTAACTTAATCAGAAGCCTTCACAGATGCCCAGAGCTTGTCTTAGGTGATTCCATGTTCTGTCAAGATGACCGTCAATATTAACCATCACATACATAAAGCAAAACAACAAACTGCGGTTCTCTCATTTTAACGTCACCCTGGTCAATCCCAATCTAACATTTTCTTTTGAAAAAAATTTATTTTTATTTTATATATATATGAATGTTATGCCTGCATGTGTGTAAGTGCACCCACATCATGCAATGCCCACAGAAGACAGAAGAGGGCGTTGGATCCCCTAGAACTGAGTTATGGATGGTTGTTCGCCACCATGTGGGTGTTGGGATCCAAACCTGGGTCTTCTGCAAAAACAGCTCTTAACTGCTGAGCCATCATCACTCCAGTCCCTCATTTTCTAACAAATGTAACAATAATGAAAAACATGGCTGGCCTGTTGCTCAGGATACAAATGGATTGAGTGATTGCCAGGTCCTGAGATTGAGCCCCAGCACCAAAATGAATTCTTTTAATGGGAAATTGCAAAATCTCAGGCTTTAGTCAGCTCAGACTGCCATGAGACCCCACAGAGGGGGAGGCTTATATAACTGAACTTAACTTTCCCACACAGGGAGCCTGGAAGTTCTTGATCCACATATTGGTAGCTTTGGTTTCCCCAGGCTTTGCTCACTGGCCTATACATGGCTCTCCCTTCTGAGTTCTACAACAGGCAAGAACAACCAAGAGTCTACCCAGAGATGCTGACAAATATAAGATGGTGCAGAGTCACTAGGGAAGTAAGTGTTGATGCACAATACAGCATGCAGCATTCTGCTACCTGAAATGAGACTGGTGCAAAAGGACAGATATGGACAGAAGGCCACTAGCTTGGCATGGGAAGCCTTGGCTCAGTCCTCAGTGGCACAAAAAGAAGGCAAAGGACAAACACTCATGAAGTAAGGATACAAGAAAAAGAAGATCAGTCAGACAGAAAGCAGCCCACCCCAAGTACCTCGAAGAGTGCATAAGCCACATTTACTCCCCTCTCACTCCAAGGAGCTCAAGGCCATGCTTAGGGAATTCCTGCACACCTACTCTGCAGCACAGAGCTTCCTTGGTGATTTCTTGGGGTGCAGAGAACAAGAAGGGGACAGTGCATAGTCCTGGCCTGGGCATGGGTGTCCCAGTTCCCACACACCATATGAGTTAGAAAGTCCCACAGGAGGCTGGATTGGTGGCTCCAGCCTTATCTCTTTACAACTGATAACAAGAAAGAAAACCTATCCCCTTCCCCCAATCAGCCATTGCCAGGGACCCCTGCCTGCTGGGCCTCCTTGGTGGCAGACATGTAGCAGCCCTGTCTGAGGTGACATGCCAAACTCTTTTCATAGGGAGTAAATGACACAGCCTGGGCAGCAAAGGCCTGTTAGAGAGCAAGTGACAGTATGGTAAGAACCTGTTTATCAGCAGTTCTGTCACCCAGGGCCTCCCCTCTGATGCTTCTCAGAGCTCCCTGGATCTTAAGCAAACACTAGAGATGGGGCATCCCCATGCCATGGTTGCTTCTGCCTCTCATTCCTGTCTTAGAGGCAGACATTTCTTTTTCTTTACAGTTTTCCATTAATAAAGTGTAAGTTTTCAAAGCCTCATTTAAGAGGTTGGGCTTGTGGCTCAGTGGCTTAGCTCTTGCTAGCATGCACAAGGCCCTGGGATCAATTTTCTGTGTCATAATTCAAGTAAACAACAACACAAAACATCCTTACCAGACAATGGGAGGTCACAACTCCTGGACATCTCTCTGTGTAACTGTCCTTATTGAAGAAAATGAAGGGGCCAGGGCCAATGTTGGCAGATAGAAAAGCTGAGCCTGAAGAGGTCCTCTTGTCACTCCCTCCTGGGATTCAGGCTGCAGCTTGCAGCAGGTTTTTCCAGGAACAAGGGACTCTGTGCAGTGGCCCTGTGGGCTCATCATCACATCTACCTACCAAAGAGATTTGCCACACAAAGTCTCAGTTTCCTCATTTTTTCGGCAGAGTAAAAGCATCATCTCTGAAAGTGCTGTAGTAAAACAGAGTGCAGAGGCTCCATCTGTGCAAGGAGACTACTCAGGGAGCAGGGCCTGGTCTACTGTGCCCATAGCCCACCCTCCATCCTTCCAAGTCCCTAAGGGGATCATGCCCACTGAGCATGTTTGCTCAGTAAACCCCACTCTTTAGTAGAAGGGTTAAAAACAAGCTAGCAGGAATGTGGGCAGGAACTTGCAAGTTGCTTTCTCTACCTTTCTGTTTAACATGCAGGACATTTGCAGACTCTGTTGCTATGTCCACAGAACCTCTCCCCTCTATCAGGGCCCCTCAAAGTTTCCCAGTACAAAAACATTATATAATAAAAACTTTCCCCTTTCCTGGAGAAGCTTGTTGGTGTGTTGGGATGTTAGTCTTTCAAATTTCTTGTTGGTTTCCCAGTGAGGGTAAAGAGTTTGTTGTCTTGGTCCCCAATGGTTTACATCAGGGATTGGCCACCCTGTTGCTATCAGCACTGTAAATAGTGTAAACAGTGCAGGGGAGGCAGTCAGCTTGTCCCCACCCCCTCTCCAGCTGGGACTCACTGAGAGACAGCCCTTCAGGCTCCTGGAGAGCAGGCCTGGCCCAAAGGCTTCAGCACATGGGCTCAAAGATCTCACCTCTGCCCTGTCTTCTGGTCCAGGGAGAGGGCAGGGACTTTGCTGTCTTGCAAGCTTGTGCATTCTATGACCTGATGCAGTGACTCTAACCCTAGAGGAAAGATCCCTCCAGGACTGAAATTCTTCACACTGGGCTCCGTGGATGGTTATTCAATACAGAGATGAGAGGAAAGGCCCCTACCAAGCCTAGGTGTCTGTGAGAAAATGACAGGGAGACCTCCTGCCAGGTAAGAACAGAAGTCAACCAACTCTTAGAACCAGAAGGGGTTTACAATTCCCAAGCTAAATGGCAGTGCTAGGGCCACTGCTCCTTCTTATTGAAGGTAGTGTGTGCTCTCCATCTCAAATCCTTCCTCATCAGGGACATCAAAAGCTACAAGTGCCAAAGTGACTGCATTGTACTTATTTTCATTGTCATAATTGTGCTATATACTTTCTATAATGATTGCATGGCATTTTACTTGTGTTAATTTTTGCTTACAGGAGTTTTAGGTTTGAACTCCAATAATTTCCTTTAAATGTTCTAGGTTTCTGTTGGTGATCATCCCGGCATTGCAGATCATACATTTGGGAAACAGTAAGTAGCATTTTATTCAGTCTGGGTTTGGGTGGTTAAAATACCAGTTTCTCAGGCCCTATCGGCTCTTACTCCGTTGTGCTTGGAAGGCTGTCTGAGAGGGCAACAGGAAGGTGGCAGAGCTGTCAGCAATATCGCAGCGCCCAGGACAACACTGGACTGGACCCTGAGTAATTCCAGCAGAGAGAATGGGAGCCAGGAGGGCTGGACGCCCCAGGAGTCCCCTGCCCGTTCCAGGGCCTTGGAAGAGGAGAGTAAGTATAGTCGCTGCACATCCTGTGAGGAGATCTGGACCAGTGGACTCCGGAAAAACTAAGTGGGATAAGTCAGGGCAGAAATGAGAAACCCGCCAAGAACGTTTTTTCACCTTCCATTCAGGAATCACATGCACAAACAAAACAACCACCACAGCAAAAACACTTAGCGATGAGTTTACTCTGAAGAGTTTCACTACTTCATTGGAAAACCCACTCCTTTGCTCTACAGCTAGGAGACCAGGGGACCCTGAGCAGGCTTCTCTCAGACAGTTGGGCTCCAGGCTCAGCATCCTTGGGGTATTGGGGAGTGAGTGGGGTGAGGCTGGCTGTCGTCTCACCCGTGGGTGGTCCCCCTCCTGGGAGGCCTGCTGCCTTTAATCACTGGCCCACAGTCTCAAGTTAACTTCAGCTGATGATTCCAAGGGGCAGAGAAAGCAACTTGCAGGGTGTCAGGAGCTGTCCCGGGTCCCGCCCACATTCCTGCCCCCTCAGGGGCTGGGAAGGATGGAGCGCGGGCTGCGGGGCAGCTGACCAGGGTCACCTGCAGGTGCGGCCCCGGGATCGCGCTGCTGCAGGAACGGAGGCACCTGCGTGCTGGGCAGCTTCTGCGTGTGCCCCGCGCACTTCACCGGCCGCTACTGCGAGCACGACCAGAAGCGCAGGTGGGTGGTGCGGGTGCGGGCGGGATGGGGAACGCGCGGGAGGCCGCGGGGGACACTGACACCGCACTGACCCGCCCCTGCCTCCCCAGGGACTGCGGCGCCCTGGGACACGGAGCCTGGACCCTGCGGGGCTGCAGCCTCTGCAGGTGCATCTTCGCCGCCCTGCACTGCCTTCCCCGCCAGACCCCGGGCCACTGTGGTAAGAGCACCCCGAAATCTGCCTCACAGGAGAATGCGCTCTGGCCTTTCTGGGCGGGGACGCAAGCGTCTGCTAGTGCCAGGCGACATAGAAATGAACAAACCAAATCAACTCATAGCTCAACAAAGTTGTAATCATTGTGAATCCTGAGCGAATTCACTCTCGTTGTAGACATTTTCCGTGTCTGGATGTTGGATTTATCTTGATTTGCGGTTTCTAGTGCATTGGACTTTCAGGAGCTACGAGATCATAGCACAGTTCACCTGGGAGCCAAGTTAGCTGACTAAATCCCTAGCGATGTCAAACACTGACTAACACCTTGCCCTCTTCAGCTCTGACTCCAGAAGGCACTGGATGGGGAAGGGACTCTTCAGGGTCAGGCTGTGATGGTGTCTGGAGGGGGACACATTTCAATCCAATGTTCTAGGCCCCAACCTTCCCTCTCTTAGCAGGAGCTGTTCTAGACTCCTGGTGATGGGCACATTCAATGAAGGTGTTGCCTTTCAGACTAAGTGCCCACTTCTGCCTCTGCCATTCTTGTGTGGTTTGACTGAGATGTGTCCAGTGGACACCTCCTGAAGTGAAATCCTTGACCCACCTTCCTGCCTCTCCATCAGGGAGTCCTAACAACCCTCCACTGGATGGGGCACCTTTAACTGGTTACACAGTCCTTCCCCCCACTTTCCTCCCCTCCCTCAGGCAGTCCAGGAGGGCAGTGATAGAGCAGGGAAGCTCCTCAGCTGCACTTCCTGGTCCCATCCTCTGGCTGTGGCTCTGGTAGGGACCTGGTGGAAGAGCACATTCAGTGCCTGACAGCTCCTGCCCCACATGCTCACCGGACTCTCCCCTCTTCCCCTCCAAATACCCTCCTGCTCCCTGAGCTTCCCCAGTGCCCTCTATCTCCCAGGCTCTCCCTATATGTTGGGTTTGTGTCTCTTAGTCACTAGCTGCTGCTCCTGTATCCCTGAGGTTGGAGGACATACATTTTGAGAGTCAGAATTACAGGGGAAGCCTGGTGTGGTGCTTTTGATCCACTGACCCTGCAAGTTACAATGTGAGTGACAGCACCAGTGCTCACTGTACTCATGGAAATGGTCATGGTGTCAGGAGGGTGAGCCATGCATGGTGCTAACTGTATTCTCCCATCCTTGGTGCATTTCAGGTACTTTTTGCCCATTAGCTAACTTAATTCCCATCACCCTTTATGAAGTAGACACCATTGCCTTTCTGTTGGGTGAAAGGGATATAATGCTGAGGCTCCAGGATGTGACTCCAACTACTTGTAAACAAAGCACTGTGTCATCTGCCTGTCTTCCCTCTGAGAATTCTCAGTGTGAAAAGAAGAGATTTTGCCATTGTTATTGAGAATTTTGAAAGCGTGGCCATGTTTAAGTCCAACCCCTGAGAAATGCCAACAAAATGTTTGAGATCCTTTAGTGGGGTGTCAGGGTAACTTTAAAATAATTTTAATACTTTGAAAAGACATCTTTGGGTGAGATCACAAATAGATACCATCATCCAAACTTCTGCCTCCCCTGCAGCCCTTAGGCTAATCAGCCTCCAGGTCCTCCTGGCCCTCCTGGCTGCGACCCTGTCCTCCAAAGGCAAGAATGAAAAGCTTTCAGTTCACAGGGAATTCTGCTCAGGTTGGAGGCAGCTGATACTCTCCCATTACTCTAGTTCCCAGGAATCAACAGGTAATTTTCATGAGCACCAAGAACTAATTACAGGCTAGAGGTGGAATTTATCTTAAGAACTACAAGACAAAAAACAATTGTACATTGTAATAGGAGTGTATAACACAGATAGAATATGTATTTAGAATGCTCCAGGCCCTGATGTTAATCTTTAGCAACAAACCAGGAAAAAACAAAGGCTAGTCTTGTAATTTGAGCATGAGATGGAGCCAGGTCAAGCTGCTACCGATACAATTAAAAGAAAAATAAATTTCTGGCAACAATAAAAACAAAACACGCAAATGAATGAATGTGGTAGAAACCCAGTATCCAGACCTAGAGGTGCCTGGTTCCAAGCAGCTCTGAGCTTGAGTGTGTCCCCTGTGTCACGTCCAGTCATCAGGAGACGTGCTCTATGGGAGAAGCCCTTCTGGTGGGCATGCTCCTCGAGGCTGAGGGAAGAAGAGGAAGCCATGTGACTCAGTGATGTCCAGAGGTGGCAGCAGATCAGAGATTTCAGGACCTTGAGCCTGGCTCACATTCAGATATGATGGTACCCTTGTCCATAGTGCTCTCCAAAACCTCTAACAGTAAAATATTTATGTGAACCCCTTGTCTGTTCAGGGGTAGAGACACACAGTTGGCAGGTGCAAGAGGACTAACTTGGCTTCATTTTTATTTTGTCTCATACACACAAAAGTAACGTACATGACAACGTCTCTGATGTGTCCAACACTCTAAAAGACCTTTTGAAAACTATGTAATAAGATCTCAGGTGACAGTAATAAGTCATGACCAGTAGCAGAGACTTTCCTAGTGTGACATAAAATAGTGATAGATCACAGAATAAGAAATATAATCAATTTAATAAAAGGAATAAATACCAATAAAACACATTTTTTAGTTTTTCTGTAATGTATAGTTGAAGTTATAATGTTTCTAAGAACAAGGAGGGACCTGGGGTGGCCTGAGAGGCACAGCCCACAGTGTTCACAGGTTTAGTTTGGGGTCCCTAGTTTGAAGTCCTTATTGTTTCACAGAGCTGTCTATAACGTGTACCTGGAGACTTAAAGTTTGTGAATCAGAAGCAACTGAGCAGGGGGCCTGAATCTTCCCCAGCATTCCTTTCTTCCAGGAGAAGATGAACTCTGACCCAGTATGGCTGATCCTGTTCTCACCTGAATTGCCTTTTATTCATGTGTTTGCATGTGCGTTTGCATGTTGGCATGTGTGGGGGTGCGTGAGTGTGTGTGCACTTACCTGTGTATGCCCAAGATTGCTGTCTGGAATCTTCAGCACTTTTCCTCCACCCATTCTTTAGAGCACAGTTATCTGAATCAAACCCAGAGCTCTCCCATGCTCCTAGACGCTCTAGCCAGCTTGCTCCAGGATCCTGTCTCCATCTTCTGAGGCCATAATTACAGATGGGTCAACAAGCCCACTGAGCATTTACTATATGGTGCTGGGATTCAAACTCCAGTCCTCTTGCTTATACCATGAGCTCTTTAAACCTGAGCCATCCTCCTGTCAGGAGGGGCCCTGTCTGGGGTTCTGGCACAGTGGAACAACACTCTTTCCCAAGGTGGAACAAAAAAGGAGGGAGCACTCAGGACTGCAGTGAGCCTTTCCTTGGTCCCATGTAGGGTTGGCCTCTGGGCCAATCTAACTGCAGCCTCCTTGTGAACAGGAGTGGTGCATCCCTGCCAACATTCTACATGTATCTGTTAGCATCTACTGCTGTGTACTTATCAGGTAGCAGTCAGGGCTGGGCAGAAGTGGCCAGGTGTGGCCTTGATGTGAGAAGACTAGGGGAATTGCCACCATGACTGTGGGGTTGATTTTTTCAATAATCCATTATTTAGTTACTTTAGCCAAGTTCTTTACCAGGTCTCACCACCCCAGATTGGGTTCCAGATGTGTGCCAAGCCAGACTTGGGACACAGGACACAGATGAGTGAAGCCTACAGTTGAGGAGCCATGTGGGGTAGAGAGGGCAGAAGTTGTCATGGCTCCTGGGATCCAGTCATGATGGTGGCAGGCAAAACAGACTAAGATGTGAGTTCAAGGCTCATGGCCAATGGTTTTTGAGATCAACTGTTATTTTATGTCACACCAAATGGAAACTCTGTCACTGATGATGACCTGGGAATTTTACTTACCAATGGTCCTCTTTAGACCTGAGATCTTTTCACATTAATGCCCTGCATCATCAGACAGTAAGAGTAAGTGAAGCAGAGTTTGGGCATGCTCAACTGTTCCTACCATGGAATAGGGAACACACTCAAATTATGTTTTTACTCATGGAGTAAGAGATTTATTAAAAAAATTGGAGATCACTATGGATGAGGACAACATCACATCTCAGTGGAGCATCAGACCCAGCACTCCTGCAGTGCTCAGTGAATGAAGGTGGCTTCAGGGCTTACTGCTCCCTCCTGGTGACTGTGCTGTCCCCAGTCAGATATACAGAGATTGGGGGGATGGCTTGGTGAGTAAAATTCTTGCTGTACAAACATAAGGTTGTGAGTTTCATCTGCAGAACTCATATAGAAAGGGTGTAGGGGCTGGAGAGATACTTAGTAGTTAGGAACTCTCGTTGCTCTTTTAGAGGACCTGTTTGGTTCCTGGCACCCACATCAGGCAGCTTACAACCTCCTGTAACTAAAGCTCCAGGAGATAGATGCCCTCTTTTGGCATCTGTGCGTGCCTGCATGTATGTGTTCACCCAAATACAATACACACATACACACACACACACACACACACACACACACACACACACATGCACATGCACGCATGCACGCACACACACGCATACGCATAAAGTAAAATTATTTTACTTTATTCATTATTTTTATTTTTATGTGTATGAGTGTATTGCCTGCATGCATGTAAGTGCATCCATGTTGTACAATGCTTACAGAGGTCAGAAGAGTGTTGAATTCCCCTAGAACTCGAGTTGTGGATAGTTGTTAGCTGCCATGTGGGTCCTGGGAATCAAACTCTGGTCCTCTGCAGGAGCGGCCAGTGCTCTTAATTGCTGAGCCATCTCTCCAGTCTCATAAATTTTTGTTTGTTTGTTTTGAACCTAGGTCCTTGCCTATGCTGGGTAAGTGTTCTACCACTGAATCCTGAAAAGGATTAAACAAAGACAGAAAGGCACAACCTCCCTTCCCTGCGATCTCCAGGGTCCTTCCAGCTGCATGTGTAGGCTCTGGGAGGGTGCCATACAGAGAGAGGCTGGGCCCAGAGCAGGGCAGAAGAGGGCCTTAGTGGGAGTGGGTACAGACATCTCTACCTCATTCCTTAACCAAGCTTGTAACCGTGGACTTTATGATTTTTCCATCTTTTTTTCCAGACCTGAAAAAAGTCCTGTCCTCAGGGGCCAGTCGACCAAGTGCCCAGGGAGCTTCGAGTTTGCTCTTCCTGTTGCCCTGCGTCCTCCTGAGGGGCATGGATGCTGAAGGCTGAGGTTCCAGAGTGCAGTGGCAGAATCTCCTCCCAAGGCTGCAAGGAGTCATCCTTGATTCCATTCAGTGCCATAGCATCCTGGAGGGAAACTTGGGCCGTAGGCATCTGCTTGAATGTTCTGTGTTGTAAACAATGGAATCATTCAGTTTGTCATGGACAAGTGATGAATCCTTGTGTTGTGTGGTAAAGAATTTCAGCAAAGAGCCTTCCTTGCTTTCTGAGCTTCATTTCAAGGTCTCCAATTGAAGCAAGTCTGAATACAAGAGCTCATACCTGTTCAACCCTGAACTCTTATGTCTTCAGAGCGCTCACTGAACATATGTGGGCCATCTCAGAACAAGTGGCCCCTCCCAGGTAATAGCCATTCTGAGCACCTGGACCTTCTGTTCGCAGGACTGGCCTCTCACAGGTAGACCATGGACAGATGCCATCTTCTCAAGCTTGGTTGGGCCAGCTTGCTTAGGATCATCACAGCTAAGCTTGTTGACTGTTACTTTCAGCAGGAAAGGAGTAGCAGGGAGACTCAGCCATACCTCTCATACAACCAGTCAGCCCTAGTTGCACAAGGGGTAGGTGCAAAGGCCAAGGCCTTAAACTGAGGAAGCGGAGGGGAGACTCACCATTTTGTGAGGCTGTAGGGAAGTCACAATCTCCTGGTTGGAGACTTTCCAGTTCAGCCTTGGGAGGGGAGCACCCCCACTTCTGTAAGTAAACCCTCACCCATTGCTCTGTAAGTCCAATAAACTCATTGATTTCCCACACTGCAGTTTGGCAAAATCAGACCTCTGTTTCTTGTAGGGACCAAGGTCATGGGAGTTCTGGATGCCCTTTGCACCTCACAGAAGGAATTTTAGCTACACCTTCCTTCCTTGCCTCAGTAGCATCTTCTGAGGTGTCCTGACCTCCAGTGTTCTCTCTCAGTCTCTCCACTGGCCTCAGCCTGTGGGAGAGGGATAGTGGGCTGAACACCTTTCTGGGTCTGGCAAAGAGCAGTGGCCTCCAACATTGTTGATAGAAAAAGGAAGGCAGGAGGGGCTGGGGACAAGCAGCTTGGCACCTGCCTCCTCTCTAGCAGCAGTCAGCTCCTTGGAGGGGGTCTGGGGGACTCACCGCATCTCCACAGAGGGGGAAGTCTTCCCAGCTGAAGAATGGAAAAGGAGACTAGAAGGGGAGTGGGATGTTAGTTCACTGTAGAGAGGCTCAAGGCAGCTCCCCCATCTCCAAGCAACACCATCTTGCAAACACTGACCATCTGTTGCAGTCTCTGCCTAACTTGAGCCTGGGTCTGAGACCAAGCACCTGGGAACAACTTTGTGGAAGTGAAAGGGGGCTAGGAAACTGTCTGTCTGCCAGTCACAGGATACATCAGTCAGAAATTTCTCAGTTATCCTGTCCTGAACATAGACTCCCCCAATAGACCAGTCACCACCATGCCTGGACAGAAGCCCTGGCTAGAAACCAGGGTGGGGGTGGGGCACTCAATCAGATATCACAAGTTATTCAGGTAAACAAATAAGACGTGAGAGAGAAGGATCCTGGGGAATGATGGTACAGATAAACTATTTGATCAAGACTGATATTTTTTTTTTAATTTTTAAAAATGATTTATTTAATAACAACATACTTAGAAGAAGCATATCATTACAACACAATTGACATATTCAATAACGGTTTCCTGAGGTAGGATGCATCTCTTTCAAAACTGGCTGTAAATTTTTAGGTTTACAGTTGAATTATTACAGTTATACAATATTGTACTCAGTATAAACCCTATAAG